TGCACCCTTTTTCCCTTGGTTCTTTGCACTGTATCCACCACTATTTTGGCTCTTCATCTCTAGTGGGTTGGCCACTCCGAACTAGATTAGAACACAGTTTTGCACAATTATGAGCCTACTTTGCATATGCGATATTTGTGCATATAGAAATTAGATAATTTCACTTCCAAATGACCAGGTAAACCGAAAAGAGGGATAGCTGCACCCTTTTTCCCTTGGTTCTTTGCACTGTATCCACCACTATTTTGGCTCTTCATCTCTAGTGGGTTGGCCACTCCGAACTAGATTAGAACACAGTTTTGCACAATTATGAGCCTACTTTGCATATGCGATATTTGTGCATATAGAAATTAGATAATTTCACTTCCAAATGACCAGGTAAACCGAAAAGAGGGATAGCTGTAGTATTAGTGTTGCCCAGCATCATCTTATCTCCACTTGACTAAACAAAGGAAGACAGACTCTGGCTGGCCAAGTGGTGACATGAGGCTGCCTCCTTTGTGCTGGCTAATGCTGTGGCCCACGCGGTTAGGCTGTCCCTGCTGGCCTGAGACAGCCTCACCGGCCCCAGTTCAAGATCTGGTGGGTGGGTCATCACTTGCACTTCAATGAGGACATCGCTTGAACTCAAATGCACTGTGGTTTGATTTTCCCTATTTTCTTTGCCTTAGTTAACCATTTTTAATTCATGAACTGGTTTTATTAAAATGGCTGAATTTCTTAAATTATTATGTCAAACCCAGTAGGCTTTCTCATTTTAATTAGTTTTAAAATTAGCCTTTAAATTTTTTAAAAATCATATTTAGTCTAAACACTTTTAATTAAACGTTTTCAAATAGCCAAAAGTTAAAATCAAATATCTAAAACAAATAGTATCTTTTCTGAATATACTTTTAACTCATGATCTACTAACTCATCACAACATAAGGAAGATATAGTATAGAGCAGGGTTACTTAACATCAGCCTGTTTGTTTGTGGCCCACGATGTGGTTTGGATTTACAGAGGGCTCAACACACGGCCCGCAGGTAGGATCCTTTGAACAAGGCCTCCACTGGGAACACACTCCCAGGCGGGGTGAGCAGTGAAAGATGCAAGCGGATGGGCTGGTTGGAACAGCTGAGTACAGGGTGTTGGTGTTTCTAACCCCCTGGGAGGAGGCGCCGGGGCATTGTGGGAAGTGCCTTGTATTCATGCCCGTCAGTGTGAAAGACTCCATTTGCATATATTTGCTTATATACTTCCATATATATGCAACCACACTTAAGTTGCGGCCCTTAGCATGTGTTGTGAGTATCATTGTGGCTCTCGGGGCTTCCACAGTTGAATAGCCCTGGTATAGAACAAGACAACTAGAATTAATGTCAGGGTTATCCAAGATAAAATAGCTGAAAAAATCAGAATACAAACCATCAAGCATGTAATTCATAAATTCAAGAGCCCAAAAAGGACTATTATTAGATCAGTGACTCTCAGCCTCTCAAGACTACTGCAATCCTTCTTAGGAGTCTGATTTATCTTTTGTATTCCCACATTTAAAAACTATTTGCGTACAAAATCTTCTATAATCACTGAAATATGTGACCCAGAGCTGTAAACTCAATCCTTAGCACAAAATACAATGAATGAAGGTGTGCTTGTGATATACCTGTGTGTGTGTGTGTGTGTGTGTGTGTGTGTGTGTGTGTGTGTGTGTGTATATATATAGATATATATATATATAAGTGTGTATGGAGTCAGGCAGATGTAGGAGAGCAGTAAACAAACACGCATATCAAGCAATGAACTACTCAGGAGAGCAATAGCAGGAGTATCTCCTTTTATTCATAATTATAGCTTCTTTGATGTTGAAAATGAAGAAGCCCAGTATGTTTTCAGTTGTAGGATTTTGATTCACATTTTCAGGAAACTTAATATAAGTGACACATTAGACTGAACAGATTTATAATTCCCCTTCTTTGGCATACATTAGTTTCATGGCTACTGAAAATGTTGCAGTATTTTTTTGATTTCATATTATTATTTAAAGTTGTTAATTATCCCATGTTTTAGTATTCTTTCTTCCATAGCATTTAAAAATATATAAAAAATATTTGTTAGTAACTGGTGGGTACCACTGTGGCACATACCTGAAGAAGTGCACATGACCCCAATATTGGTGCAGAAGACAAAACTCACTCCGCTCATGTATGGAAAATCTTAGAAGGGAACACTAATATAGAGCCCTGCAAAGCTGTGGATATCTGGTTTATATCTGCAGGTATCTGCGGATGTGGATGCAGATATCCATAGCTCATTTTTGCGATTATGGATGTGGATGCAGATACAAATTTTGTATCTAGAATCCCGGAAATTTGCAGATATCTGCTTTATATCCATGGGTATCCATGTCAATGTGAATATTCACCACTTATTTTTGCAGATGTGGATCAAATTTTGTATCCATGCAAGGCTCTAGGAAATGTGTTGAAACCTATAGCAATTTAATTTTCAAAAGCTCCTAAATAAAAGTACTGTTGAAAATCAGTGGGCCTTTGGTCCATCAGCACTTACAAAAACCCATTACTTGGCCAAGAAATTTCCTAGAAAACCTTCTGTACTTTAGAAAGTCACAGCACAGACTGATTGTTTTTTAATTAGTTTCGAAGTGGTTGGTAACATTCCAGCAACATAGTGAAGTAGCTCTTCCTACGTATTCATTGAAAATATCAAAACCCTTCAGCTCATGTTAGTCTAGGGTTGCGAGCCCTCATGATTTTGCTGGATATCTCCCATAATTGGACTTGATCTCCAGGACGCTCCTGAAGCAAAACTGGGAAATCGGCCGCTAAAGACCAGTGGTACAGAGAGCTAAAGAGGCTCCCTACCAGTCCTGGCCCTGCAGTGCTCCCAGAAGTGGTTGGTATGTTCCTCCCTGCAGGCCTTGAAGGATGGGCCAAGGCATCGCTGTGCTGCCCCCACTCCAAGCAACAACTCTGCATCTCCCTTTGGCTGGGAACTAAGGCCACAGAGCCATCTGGTCTCTCTTGCCTAGGGGCCTTTGGAAGGGATGTGCTAGCCACTTCTGGGGAGCAGCATGGGGCTAGGGCAGGCACCTTAACTTCGTACCTCAAGCTCAGCCCAGGGCCTCTTCTGTACTTCAAACCCCTGACCCACAGACCAGAGTCCACACTTCCTTCCACAGCCCAGCTCCATGCCCCATTCCAGTGACAGTGAGTGTG